TATGCTTTAGAATATCCAACCTGCACAGTTAAGGAGCTTTATTCTAATATTGTATCTGTTCAAAGGCCACAAGCATTGCTGGCTGAGGCAGTAATTATTAATCATCTTTAATTGCACTTGAGAAGGTAGTGGTGAGCTGCTTCCTGAATTGGTACAGTACCTAGGGTGTGGGCACACCTGTAGTGCTGTTTATGTGTCAGCAACGTTACTTGCTATTTATCAGCCGAAAACCTGGAAGTTATCCAGATGTTGTCGCAAATGCGCCTACTGTTCTTTATAGTTGAGGAGTCATAAATGGTAGTTATGATGATAGGAAGGTCATTAATGGAACATAAATACGGTTGGGTCCGCAACACTCCCCCAAGGAATTCTCATAGTGATAACCCAAGACTAGGATGAATGACTTCAAACAACCACACTTATTTTCCTCTGTGCTACGTATGACTCTAGCTAGTGCAGAGATCTCTCCCTGATTCCTATCAATTCAGTTTTGTTAGGGCTCCTTCACCAACCTGACCACCGATGCATATTTTAAGTTATTTCTGCTATTGAACTGTTTAAGGAGCAGGTCTCAATATCCATGAGGTCAACATAACTTAATGGAATCTAAAACAATGCTTATGTTTATAACTCAAACATGGTCAACAGTAATACATAGAAAAGCAATTTATCCTAAAACTGATCACATTGATCTGCTATAAATCTCTAACACTGTCTTCTGAGGTCTTGTTGGAAGATTTTGTTCTGAAGAGCCTCTAAACAGTCAGTCAGCTCTTGGTCATCAGCAAAGTGATAGAGAGGGTCATTGAATACAGTTTCAAACAGTACTTGCAAAGGAATAACCTCAGCTCTGACTTCATTGGTTTTAATGTGAACAAACAAGCAGAACCACATAGGTGAGGTGAGAATAACTGCCCTTGACATCAAAGTAGCATTTAGCCAACTGTGACATCAAGAATCCTCAGCAAAACTGAAGTTAATGTGAGTCGGGTGATAATTTTCTGTTGGTTGGAGTCATACATAGCACAAAGGGAGGTGGTTGTGTTTCTTTGGAAGTTAATCACTTCAGTTCAAGGACGTCACTATAGGAGTTCCTCATGGTGGTGTCCAAGGCTTTAACTCTTCAGCTGCTTCATCAATGTCCTTCCCTCCGTCATGAGGTGAAAAGTGATGATGTTCACTGATGAGTGCACAATGTTCAGATCCACTTGTGACTCCTTAGATACTGAAGCAAGACATGGACAATATCCAGGCTTGGGCTGACAAGCAACAATTAATATTTGCACTACAGAAGCACAGGGCAATGACCATCCCCAACAATAGAGAATCTTACTATCTCCTCTTTATGTTCTATGTCAGTATCATTGCTAAATCTCTTTCTATCAACATCCTGGGGGTTACCATTAACTAGAATTGGACCAGCCATATAAAGACTGTAGCAGATCAGAGACTGAGAATTCTAGGATAAGCAACTGAACTCCTGATTCCCCAAAGCCATCCGTGATTTACAAGGCACAAGTCATGGGTCTGATGGAATACTCTCCATATGCCTGGATTAATGTAACTCTAACAATGCTCAAGAAACAAACAGGACAAAGCAGCCCACTTGATTGGCAGCCCATCCACCATGTTTGAAATTCACTCTTTACCATCAAACACACAGGCAGCAGCATGTAACAGCTACAAAATACACGGCAGTAATTTTCAAAACCTCCTTCAACAGCATCTTCCAAACCTGCAACCTTAAGCACCTGGAAGGATAAAGGCAGCGATGCATGGGAACACCACCTACATGTTCCCCTCTAAGCCACACACCATCCTGGCTTGAGGATGTACTTGCCTTCCAAAGGCTACAGCGATTCAAGAAGCCAGCTCATTACCACCTCACCAGGGCAATTAGGGATAAGCAATAAATTCTAGTTTAACCATTGATGCCCAGATCCATAAATTGATTAAAAAAGTGAATTGCATAGAGGGTCCGAAGACAAAAGTATGTCATTGACCAGCAGAAATTGGATAACCTGGGCTAGCAAGAATATTGGAAATTTGCATTTACAACTCTGCTCCAAGATTTCAATATTGCTAAGTTGCTACTCACTAAAACCTACATAATATTTACATCTGAATAGAACTCTGAATCCTGGCACCACAGGGAGTGGAGTGCTTTATTTCCCCTTCCAATTCTGTTTTGATTTAGTTCCTACCTTCTCTGTCCCTTTTTTTTCACATAAGCATTCCCCCTACCAGGGCTCTGCTTGTCACAGGTTCCTTGGCCTTATGGGTGTTTTTCCTGGTGGCGGAATATTAATAAAGTTGTGTACACATACGGGTGTTTTACACTGTATCTTGTACCTATACACACATGACACAAAAATCTCCCCACTCCCGGCCTTATCCCATGTCCAAGCTTCCCTCTCACCTCCCCCTCCTTGACCAGACACAACCTGTCCATCTTCTCTCCCACCTATCCCCCCACCCATCCCACTGACCAATCCCCACCACTCCCTACCTGCACTCACCTATCACCATCCCACCTACCTTCCCCAGCCCCACCCGTCCTCTC